CACTACAAAACAAGGGGGGATGCTAGTACAGCTTTGAGAACTATGGAATCATTCGAGTTCATCTTCATTTTGCATATGATGAAGGAGATACTAAGCACCACAGATTTGCTTTGCAAAGCTTTGCAACGTAAGTCTCAAGAAATTGTAAATGCAATGAGGGCAGTGGAGACTACTACAAAGTTGCTGAACCAAATGAGGAATGAAGATTGGGATTCTTTGTTGGCAAAAGTCACAATGTTTTGTCAAAAACATGATATCAATGTTCCTGATCTTAGTGCTCCACATTACGAAAGTCGACGAAGACGAGATGGTATCACAAATGAGCACTTTTATCATTTTGATGTGTTCAATGCTGCTATTGATGTTCATATATAAGAAATACGAGCAAGGTTCGATGACAAAGTACTTGAACTCCTGAAGCTTAGCTCGAGTTTGGATCCTCGGGATGGTTATAAAGCTTTCAACATTGGTGCTATTTGTGATCTTGCTGAGAAGTACTACCCTCTTGATTTCTCAGAAAAGGACTTAGATGACTTGAAGTTCGAATTGAAGCATTTTCATGTTGATGCTCCTACTCGTCCTAAACTCCAAAATCTATCATCACTTGCTGAGTTGTGTCATGGTTTAGCACTGACAGGAAAGTCAAAGGAATTTAACCTTGTTGATAGGTTGATTCGTCTTATTTTGACTCTTCCGGTTTCAACTGCCACAGGAGAACGCGCATTTTCAGCTATGAAGATAGTGAAGAACAGGCTGCGGAACAAGATGAATGATGATTTTCTAGCTGATAATTTAGTTATCTTTATTGAGCGAGAGATTGCAGAAACTTTCAGTATAGACGCTATTTTGAGTGATTTCAGTGATCTTAAAGAACGTCGTGCACTGTTAAAATACAATTAATAATTTATTTTACTTTTGTTTATTATCTTTTATTTCTGCCCCCCCCCCCCTATTTTCAAATGCTGGCTCTGTCCCTGGTCTTTCGCCACAAGGGAAATGCTCCTCTCTAAACATATCCATGTCGAGCCCTACATCTGTTAGAATCAAAATGGACTTCGCTATCATAGCAGGCATTGCTACATGCCACCTGCAATCCAAAACCAAAACCCCACCACCATTAATAACCTAATCAATCTATCATCGATCACACCAGTGTCATTATCTAAATCAAACCTAGATAAACATTTGAATGAAATGATAATTAACCAAGGCCAAGATGGTAAAGAGTCAGAAACAAACCTGAAGGAGATGAGGGACTAGATAAGACCAATCAAGCTGGAGTAAGTGTTGGGATTCCTGATCAGCTTCCTCCACACCATTATCAGAATCAGCCTCGTCATCACGCTCGTTGGGGGCATAGCTTTCGCCCTCCCATCACTAGCAGCGGCCGCCGCTGCTCAGCCGTAACATTCGGTATACCGGATTGCCGTCGGTATATTACCGGGTATTATCCGGTATACCGTTATGCCAAATTACGCCATCGAATACCGAATACCCGGTTTACCGATTACCACCCCTACAATTAATATTAAGAAAAGCCTTATATAACCTCTTGGCAATGGAGTTCCCTACCTGCTTGTTCATCCATGTGAACCAGAGACCCTAAACAACATGTTCTTCTCGTTCTAAATCAACTAACCACTGCTTGAATTCAATCATACTATTAGTGAAATCAGGTTTGTTTGAGGCTTCACTTGGATCACGAATCGCATTAGAATCTCATAGGACTATCCAGGACAGTTGAGTAACCGGAATTGCCCTAAGATTGGAAATCGATCATTACGCTCATACTGGGAACATTCCGGTAAGTTCTTTAACCGATACTAATTGAACCCAACTCTATCAATCTACATGCTACTAGCATAACAACCATGGTAAAATCATAAACCCAACAACCATTATATACACCAAGCCCAATGAATGAAGCCGGAGACCGAATTCAATAGGGAAGGAATCTGTAGATAAGGAGCCCAATGCTCTACTTCAATCGAAAAAGGAAAACAAGGGTTTCCATATATACAAAGCTGCATAGAGAAGAGGAAATGTGTTTAACCAACGGCTAAACCACGTTAAAAACAATTAATTGATAACGAGAATAACAGGATATTTCAATATTCATACTTGTCTCGCACCAAACGCAAATCGGTCAAGTATTTTCTCATGAATATTTTA